TGAGAGAGAGAAAGAGAGAAAACACTCCCGAATGGGGCATGATCACTCCACAATCTTTTTTTCTCCATTTCGCTATTCGATCAGGATTTTGGGTACTCACGCATGCACACAGACACAGCTGGCACATATTTTAAGCCACTGGGCTAAGGATTCAAACTGTGATTGGCCATGTGGGATCCAGCTCCTTTAACCATTACTCTACAGGGTTCACCCAATAATGTCTTCTTTAAATACCAGTTAAAACTAGGTGTACACTTATTTCACAAGAGCAAGGACATGTGTCTCTGAGACATTCCTCTTCCCATAAAGTCACCAAAGCTGGGATTTCCAGGCTGAGCGGCACCAGGACATGGTCTTGGCTATGGGATGGTAACAATGCAGAGCAGAATACAAGAGAACAACATTTAAATAGTCAATCTCACTTCACACAGAATAACTGCACAAACACTACTTTGACCTCTGGTAATAATGATACTCAAGATTCTATTGGCAGTTGTAAGCAGCAGCTTGGTCTGTAAGTACCAAGAGGACGTGAGACTCAGGGAGAATAAACGGTGGGCTCAGGACCTGCTTCTCAGTGCCATCACTGTGCCCGCTGTGGCTGCCATTACAGTCTTTGAATTCAATTATTTTTTCTTTCTTCCTTTCCTCTTATTGCACAGTTCACCAGTACTCTAACCAAAGAATGAACTTAAATAGAAATTCGGGGCTGGCAGGTGGCATAGTGGTTAAGGGCACTGGACTCCCACATGGCCGACTGCAGTTTGAGTCCCAGACCTGGCGGCTTGCTTTCTCACTTTCTGTCTCTCTCTCTCCCCCTCCCTCTCTGATCAAATTAAAATAAATAAGTAAATAAACAAATAAACAAAGTTAATTTAAAAAATAATTCTTAAAAAAAAGAAAAATTCAAAAAAAGTAGCTCCATGTCAGGACACTTATGTGGGCAGCAGGTGGTGTGATGGTTAAGGCAATAAACTCCTATGTGGCTGACCATGGTTCAAGTTCTGAACCCAGTTGCTTGAAAAACAAGCCATGTGCACGTGTACCCCTGGGAGGTGATTTCTCACTTTCCCTCTCACTGTCTCTCTCTGGAAAAAACCTTAAAAACAAAACAAACGGGCCGGCAGGTGATGTGGTGGCTGGGGGCACTGGACTCCCATGTGACTGACTGCGGTTCGAGTTCTAGACCTGGTGGCTTGCTTTCTCATTTTTCTCTCTCTTTCTTTGTCCCTCTCTGGTCAAATCTAAATAAATAAATAAAGCGAAACAAAATAATGCTTAAAAAAATAAAAACAAAACGATCACATGAAAACAAAACAGAACACTTACAACTGGTCATAGTTAAGGAAAGATGAGATTAAGAGGCAAAAAGCATTTGGGTAGAAAAGTTTGACCACTGGCAATTTCAAGTGTCTCCTATATTGGCACAGAAGGTAAGAAGTTGGCCCTGAAGGCAAATGACTCTTTTGATCTGGGAACTTGCTTCTGTAAGAGGCAACATACACAGTCCTACACAGATGTGCAACAGTTATTTTTAACTCTGGAGTATCTGCCCAGGGGAACATTCTAAAAGCACAATTCTCCCAAGGGGTTTACGCTCATGGAGTCAGTTTTACTGCACAGGCTGGAAGGGGCTTAGGATAGTTTTACCCACTCACCAATCAGCAGACGCCACGCCAGACTCTCAAGAGAGAAAAGTGTATCAACATTAAAAAAGGCTGAACTGGGTCAGGAGGTGGTGTGGTGGTTGAGGTGCTAGACTCCCACAGGGTCGACCATAGTTCAAGTCCTGGATCTGGCAGCTTGCTTTCTCACTTTCCCTCTTTCTCTCTCTCTTGTCTCTCTGGTGAGCACATGTACCCTATAGCAAATTAAATAATAATAAATAAAATTAAGTAATTTTTTGGAGGGGTTTTTGCCATAGGGCACGTGTACTCACCAGACAGACAGAGAGAGACAGAGAGAGACAGAGAGACAGAAAGCGAGAAATCACCCCCCAGAGGGGATGGCCACGCCGCAATCCCTTCTCCTCCATTCTCCTCTCAGGATCTTGGGCACACACGCACATGCGCCCTGCATGAGTTTAAGCCATCAGGTCTGGGACGTGAACCGTGGTCGACTATGTGGGAGTTCAGCGACATAGCCATTACGCTAACTGCTGGTCCCAATAATTTTTTTTTTTTAAAAAGGCTGAATTAATTTATTTCATCCATCTATAGAACCTAAATTTTGATCATGATTTTAGAATCTTCACAATAATTATATTTTTCAACTACCAAGTCTAATCCCTAAACCCAAGATGAAACTAAACTGTAGCTAGTGGTAAGAATTCCTTTCTGTTGACTTAATAATATTTTAATGATAATTTGCAGTCCAGAAAACGTATCATGTGTTAATATCCCGAGCCTCTTAAGGACCACTTGCTTCTGGAAACTTAGTTCCCACCGCATTTTCAGATCCCAGTCTCTTCAGGATTATGTGAGACTGCGTTATGCTATAAAACCACATACTACTACCACAGGGAAACAGATACATAGACACGGGGCGAGCTTCCCAAGAAGAAACATAGGACGATCAGAAGAAAGGAGAGAAGAAAAGAAGTGGCCCCGCAGCAGTCTGTAGATAAAGGTAATTAAAGACGCAGTCTCTGTGCATCGATGCCCCTCACAATAAAGGTGAGAGCGTAATCCGAGAAGCCAGGAAACTGCGTCCCTTTCCTCTTCTGTGTCACAGGCCCAGCCAGCTTGGGAATGGCTTGCACATAGTCAGTGACCGTACATAGGATTTTGCAGCAAGTGTACGTAACTTTAACAAGTTAGTGGTATTATACCATAATTGTGTCTCCTAAAAATTCATGGGTTAAGATTTGGTCGCAACAATATTATGAGGAGGCAAACGTAATGCGACTATGCTGTTGAGAGGTGGGGCCTTTGGGAAGACACTGGGATCAGTTGGGGCTCCCATGATTGGCTACTGGTAGGTTTATTAAGAGACAGACACAGGCACACTCCTGCTCAGTCTCAGGCCATGTGAGGTTGTGCGATGTATCAGGACCCAGCAAAAACTCCTTCCCTGGGTGTGGACCCTGGACCTGGAACCTCCAAATTATGAGCCCAACAAACCTCTGTTCTTTATAAATCACCCAGTTTCAGGCATTCAGTTTTTAAGGGACAAAACAAACTGTAACACAAGATTCCTCAGGCCAGGTACTCAGGCAGAGCGGGAGTGGGAAAAGGCTAAAACCACCGTAAATGAAATAAACTAAACTGTATGTCTGTACAGCTTTCGTTATACTTCCACTCTTGTGGCATTCCCGACAGTTAATGAGGCTCAAAAGAGGACTTTGCCACCAAGAAACACTGATACTGCTTCCTCCCTCAGGTGGTAACATCCCCTTCAATGATTCCACTTCCCACCTAAGGAGAGTCACCCTCTTGCTCCTTTGCAGTTCGAATCTCAGGATATTTCCTTCCTGTTTACCCACAGGCTGAGACTAAAGGACATTTTCACTTATTTCCTAGTTGCTTTCCTTCTAATAATGAGATGAGTAACACAGGAGGGACAGGCACTTTCACAGGGAGGGGGAACAGAGCGCCACGAAGGGAGCAATTTGTCTGGGGGAGGTTTATAATTTTATTATTATTAGAATATTGAGATTAACATCTTTTTACATGAATCTTTATGAGTGTCTCTGATTTTTTTCTTTATTAGTGCCTCTGATTTTTCTTACTTTTTCTTGTTTTATTTACCATTTCATAAAAATCACACTAAGGAGTCCACATTCAAGTTATTGCTGCTGTGAAGGAT